CAGAGCTTCCCCTGACTGGCCCAGGCGGGGGCCAGGACCAGGAGGGTCAGAAGGGCAAGGAGGCCCACTGAGAGGGACGCCCAAGAGCCAGGGGCCTGGGGTCCCGACTGGCCTGGAGGTGGGCCGGGGCTAGTGTGAGCCGAAGGTCCCAGTGAGGGGACCACACCTGAAGGGGAACTGATGGCGGGGCGATATATGGCCTGGTATGGCGGTGGCAGAGTCCGCCTGAAGGGAGGAACCCAGTGGGGTCCTACAGTAAGATTCTGGGCCCCATCGTGGAGGACTGGCGTGTATGAATACATCATGATGTCATCAGCAAGGCTTGGGCTGCGGTGTAGGGGAGGAATGGAGCTGCAGATAGTGCCCCCTAGCAGCAGGGCAGAAAATGGGCAGCCTCCCACCTAATTACATCTATTAATTAATCAATTAAGACCAAGGCATGGCGGGCGAGAAGGTGGGCGGTTAGCCCAAGAACAGGTGGGTGGGCCTCGTGGAGATCGGCCCCAGTAGCCCCCCGTTGCACATATGTTTTAAGCTGCTTTCCCTGGGGTAATTAGATTGATCTTATTCTTTCGAGTTTTATAATATAGCTCATTTTTCATTGTTTCTTTACTTTGCATTTTGCCCTTTACTTTGCACGATAGCGAAACTGGACTGAGGAGCAGCATCTATTAGTAACTGGATTCTCTTTCTGATTCCCACGCACAAGCCTGGCAACATTGTGCTTGGGTTTCCACTACCAGAAGCCAGTCTTTGAGCTCATTGGAAAAAAGCAGTCATGCAAACATGTTTCTGCTGCAGTTCCCTCTCCCACTCCCCACTTGAAAATGAAGTTGGGCCTAAACCTTCTGACAGCATCTCTCTAAAGCATCAGTGACTGGAGTATCCTTATGACTGCGGAGTAACTATGTGAAAATAGCCTCCTCGGTACCGCTCCGCTTGCTGGTGGCTTCTCCCCTTACATCTTCTGGGTCACGTCTACATCTGCACCTTCTGAGATGTGTCCGTTCTCCTCTTTGCTGCAGAGTCGGTCTAAGCTGCAGGACAGCCGGGCTACAGACCGTGTCTCTTGGAAGAGCAGTTAGTCTCGTCTGGAGCACTGATGAAATAGGGCAGTGCTGGAGCCGTGTCTTGTGTCTAACAAACCCTGACAGGCTTGATTTATGGGGTTATGTAAGGACCCACACATGTAGATTCTTCAAATGTCAAAGCCATCTCTGCTCGAGATGCTGGGAACGTCCAGAGGCGAGCGATTAAAAGGGCATTCAGAAGGGGCGAAGCGGGGGTTGCTCTCCAGCAAGACCGAGAGTACCAAATTCCCAAAGGGTCCCTTCTCCTCCCCCTAGCAAACGTAACCCTTTGGTGCCTGGAGTAGAGATTCAGGGCGGGAGGCCATCATGGGCTTTACTTCAAGAAAGACTAAATTTCCGACAGATGTTCTGGACGCTACACAAGGGCGGTGTTGTTAGTCTATTATTATTATGTGATAATAATAATGCTGTCACTGTAGACAGTCGTTTAGTAGTCCTGCCGTGTGGCGGAAGCTTTGTTCGCTGTTACGGCGGCTGACGTCGAAGGCCGATAGCCACGCTCTCCCTCCGAAGCGGAAGACGTTGCTGCGGCATTTCGGACAGGAAGCCTGGGAGGGGGGGGTTGGGATGGGAGCCGAAGCAAACCAACCCCCCAATTTTTTCAGAGCAAGCAGGAGCTTCCAGTTGAATATGACAATAGCTTGGCTGCTCTTTCTTCTCCTTTTAATTGCTCTTCCCCTTGCCGCCCCTGATCGTGTTGGTTTTGAGGAGGTGTGCTGGAGAGTGTTTCTGAGGCAGTGAGTGCTCTGGCATTTTAACACGACTGTCAGGAAGAGGAATATCCTCCGCTCAGCTGGGAATGGGTTTGCCCCTTCCCACGGCCGGCAGCAGGAGGCAGGTTTCATGGCACTGCTGTGGCTGGGTCTACAGGCAGACTACAGCCCTCACTCAAGGGAAGAGGACTGCCTGCCTTTTCCAAGGAAGGCCAGAGCGTCCCCCCGTGTCCCCTGGCAGGACCGCGCAGCAGGTACATTTCCCGACAGGCGATGGAGAGCAGGAGATAGTGCTCTATGCCCCCAGTCAACCTTGCCTCCCATGCAGGGGTGACTTGAGTGCTGGGAAAAGGAGCAGACGGAGCCACGAGCCAGCACAAACATAGCAAAACCAGCAGGGAATGCGAAGGAGATGGAGCAAATGGGGAGAAAAGGCTCTTGACCTTCAGATAGAGCATGCTAGCTGTGGACAGTGCCAGGTATGCGGGGCAGCCGCTGGTCCCATGGGGCCGCTTCCTCTTGGTATCACATGTTGCAGTAAAAGCATGATGGCGCACTTGCAAGGACATGCCGCACCATCAAGTCCCATCAGCAGGGAGACAGGCATCCATTTGCAGCCTCTCTCTGCTGTAATGAAGCCCTGTTGAGCTGAGTCTGCTCTCCTTGCCCAGCTTTCCCTCTCCCCACCCAGATGCATGGTCATAGTCCAAGCAGACTGGGTCCCGTGCCCGTGATGCTGTGAAGAAAGCAGCCTTCTGCAGAGAGGCACGACTGCACCATCAACAGGACCATGACGCTGTCAGAGACCATTAGCGGTCACTGGTGGATACTGGATCCTGTGCTGGGTAAAAGGTGCTAGTCAGGGGGTCAGCTCTGTGATGTGGACTCACTGAGCTGTCTTACCGAGAGGTTAAAGGTATCTTTATATTCAGCAAACGTGCATGCTATTCTGAATAGAAATACGAGATTTCCCCAATTTTTGTTTTTTTTAATTAGCCGTCAGTTTGCTGCCGAAGGCTGTGGTTGTCTTCAGGAACGTGAAATATTTTTACTGGAGGTTGGGGCACCTCCTTCTGTCTGGCTTAGACGAGCCAAGTTAGTATTATGGAAGAGATACCACCAAATGACTCCAGAAATACAGTATTGTGTTGGATGTTGGGGGTCACTAAGGGAAAAAATAGGTGAAGATGATCTAGTAAATAAATGTGTGAAGAACCAAGTGGACTAAACGTAGCAAAATCCTCCTGATGTCAGTGGGTAGCGCAGGTGCTTAGGATGAC